TTTACTTTCTTAGAAATGGCAGATGCTGGATCAGCCCTGAACACCTTCGATGGGGAACGATTGTATTTCTGACAAATTGTTCTGGGTGATTCTGATGTGCCCTCAGGCTTGCCACTGTTCTTTCAGTTTAAAGAAAAAAAAGCCCACAATTTTAAATTAAAAATCATTTCATAACAAGACGAGAAGTTCTTAGCATCCCAAATGCCAATGATTTTGAGAGGTCCGAGGTTATGCAGGAAATTGCAGTTCAGAGGTTAAATGACTTATCCAAGGTTACACAGAGTCAGGTTTCAGAGTGACCCTTCTGAGTTCAGCGAACCTTCTACCGGGCTGGGTTGCCTAATAACCAGTGTCATTTGACCTGTCAGGTATTTAGCTTCCCAAGGCTCTCCCAGGAGGAACATTGTCTGAACCCAGAAGTTCTGTATGGTTGATAGATTGATTAAATGTTTGGTTATCTAACGATCAATTAGATGGCTATGGTTGTTTTAACCTTTGTGGTTAAAAATGATTCAAAATGTATTAATCACATTTTCTACTCCTTGAGAGGAATTCTGGGAGATTCATTCCATTTTAGATGTGGAATGGGCCTTAATTCTTCAGGATCTTGCAGTGCTCTGGGCCATAAACCTGCAGCAAACTCTTACTTAATATCATTATAAAATATAAAAGCCACTCAGCTGACCTTGAGCATGAGCTAAATTTCTTTCTTTGTAAGTACATTTTTTTATTCTGTTAGCTTTCTTTAGACTTGTTTCTTGGACATTGCTGCTAAAATTTTCTCACTTTAATTAATTTCTTTTTATAATGTTGGGTTTCTTGACCTTATTTTACAACTTGGGCCTAAATGATAGCTGCAGTGTCTGAGCATACAGACACTGTTGTTGCTCTGGGTTGCACTGTGTCCTTGCAGAGAATTCAGTTCAGAAATCACTTCCTGAGGCCAGTGTTCAGGCTAAGAACTCAGCAGGGGATATAATTTCAGCTTATTTCTTCTCCATTTGATACTCCCATAAATTTCAGCCATCAGATTAGATCTGTCCCTGCCATGGGGGCAGGTCACACATTCCCACTGAGAACACTTGGAGATTATATATATATATATATATATATAATCTTCCACCAAGCCAGAATTGCAGGTGGAAGTTGTGTTTTGGTTACTGGCTGCTTTGGAAATGGGATGTAAATGAATACCCAAAGTGCTTTTCCTTCTGACTTCTATCCCATGGAGGAGTCACATTCAACCAAAGGACCTGGTGCCCATATGAAATGTTCAGTGAATCCACTAAAGCTATCTGATCCTATTCAATAGCTACACTGAGGTCATCCCTCTCCAGGCTTACTCATATTTTAGAATGTATAAGTTCAACCTAAATTTGTTTCTGGATGTCTGTGCTATCATGATTCATCTCTTAATGCTCTCTACCAGAAGACAGGGTATAATTTGTGTTTTTATCACAGTTTAGCCTCCCAAAGCATCACAGGCACTTTTCTTTATAATGGGTAGTTTCATTGAGTAGTTCCTTGAGAAACTCTGAACATGGGTGGCATGAGAAGTATATGATGCTCAGTTTCATGAAGGATGATGGTGAAGATGGGTGTATAGAAATTGTATGGGGGATAATTAACATTACACCAGGAGTTGGGATGGAGATCTTAGAATACAACTCTGCCATTGTTTGCTCATTCCTGAATGATCCATTAGATGAAAGGCAGATGATTATTGTAGAATATTATTTTAACTAGGCAAAGATGTGTTACACTTGGTTATGCTGCAGAATATTACTTTAACTGGGTAAAGGTGTGTTACTTTTGTTTATGCTGCATTTGTTTAATTATTTAAAGATGTGCTGCATTTGTTTCACCTTGAGTGCTGAAGACACCTGATTGGTCTAATAAAAATCTGAATGACCAATAGGTAGGCAGGAGAAAGGATAGGTGGGGCTGGCATGTAGATGGAGGCTTCTGTCCCACCTGGTACCACAGCCATTAGTCCCAAATAAACCCACAGGGGCTTATATTAATTATAAACTCTTTGGCCAATGGCTTGGGCTTCTTACTGGCTAGCTCTCTCTTAACTATTAACCCATAGCTATTAATCTATGTATTTCTACATGGACATATCTTCCCAGAGAATACCCAGTGTCTGATCTTCCCTGGAGGATCCTCTCTGCCTTCCTCTTCCCAGCCTTCTCCTAGTCCGGTAGCCCCACCTATACTTCCTGCCTGGCTATGTCCTGCCTGCCATTGGCCAAAACAGCTTTATTCATCAACCAATGAGAGAAACATTATATTCACAGTATACAAAAGGACCTCCTCCACCACTGGATAGAATAAATAAGAGAAAAAAAAATCTAGGCTTGGGAGGGGAGAAACAAAAACAAAGAAGAATGAGAGGAGGAGGAGGAAAGAACAAGGGACATACCCAGGACAAGAAGCCATGCAGATGTCAGCTACCCAGCCAGACACAGAGGAGCCGTGAAAGATACATAGAAAGAAAGAAAAAAGGTAAAAAGCCCATGGCAAAAGGTAGATAAGGAGAAACAGGTTAATTAAAAAGAGCTAGCCAGAAAAGTGTCTAAACTAGGCCAAGTATTCAAAAGTAATAGTAAGTCTCCATGTCATGATTTGGGAGCTGGTTAGTGGCCAGAAAGAAAGAAAGAAAGAAAGAAAGAAAGAAAGAAAGAAAGAAAGAAAGAAAGAAGAAAATAAAGACAGAAAAACAACCTATTACAGATGGCAGCTATCATATTTAGCTTTAAGGGAATGATTGGCCCCCTGTAATGTAGCATTCTAATCTGTTTGGTGCCCCATCAATGTCAGGAAAGAAGGGCTCTGACTGACTCCCCCAGCTGCTGGGCATGCTGCCAGCAGGAAACCTAGGTTCTATTGCCATTTTATAAGGGGTGGGGGTGCCTTGTCCAAGGTCACTGACATAGTTGGTATGAGTGATCTACATGGATGCAGACTGCTCTCTCTTTGCAGCCCCACCTCAGGACCTCTCTGAAGCATCATTTGAGCATCAAAATCATCCCTGCAGGATGCCTAAGGCTAGGTCAGTTTCTTCCTTTGTTTAGAAGTTACCCCCCTTTCTGTTTTCCAGTTGTTTCTTTCAAGACACCCAATTAACTAATTACTTGTGAAACACTATCTCAAAGTTTGTTGGGGGAGCTCAGGCACTGGGAAATCCTTGAGCTGTTTCCCTGCCCATTAGAAAACACAAATTAACTGGAGAAGGAAGGACTTTTTAAAATCATGTCATTAAAATGAAAAGAGTGACAGATAAACAGATCCAAAGCAAAAGTAGAATAAGGTCAACTCTCTCTATCTGAACTTGTTTGGAGACAGGAGTCTCACCCTGTAGAGCAACTAGCCTAGAGCTCATGGAGATCAGACTGGCCTTGACCTTATATAGAATCCACTTGCCTCACCCTCCCAATTTGTAGTCTTACAGGTGTAAACTAACTACCATACCAGGGTCAGACTTCAGATGTGGAGGGATGCCTATCTTGTTTCTCTTCGACAATGGGAAGACATCAACTGACATCTTCCTCCAATAACTCTAAGAGTTGATGGTATGAGGGAAATGATGTCATTTTGAACTGGATACTTCTTTGTATTTTTGCATTGAAATTTGTCCTTACAGAAGTCTAAATGAAGTTCTTGCTCAGACCATTTCACTGTCCACTCTTGTGCCACTGAAGGGACCCATGAGTAAGTGGGCAATATAACATGGATTTTCACTAGACAGTTGCATAACATAGTTGCTTCTAAAAACATTCTCCTCCTCTACAGTTCAACCAGCGTGAACCCCACTGAGGGGACTGAAGGAGGCCATTTTGGATTGCCCAATCCAGGGCAGAAGGAGAGCAGTGTGAGGCTGGGTAAGGTGGAAGTCAGGGTTAACCTTTAGTGACAGCTAGAGAAGAGCTGAGAACTAGGGGAGAAAGCAAAATACAAACAACAACAACAACAAAACACATGCAGACAGCTTTCTGTTACTTCCTTGAATCTTTCACGGAAATGAGGATGTATTCCCCAGTGGGACAGCCCATCTCTCGGCATGAATTTCCGAGGATATGCAGACAGGGAATAGGCTTTTTCTGTAGGCTGGGCCAACACTCAGCTGAATCCTAGGATTTAGTAGGTTGGGGTGGGGGGCGCTGGTGGGATTGAAGTGAAAGAAGATATAACTATTCAAGAATTGGGTCTTTTAACTCAAGTTGTGTTGACAAGCCAATCAATGGGCGTGGTGGGACTGAGCTTTATGTTCCCGGCTATTTGGGAAGGGCATCCAGGTGACAAGTAAGGGATAGGGTTGAAAATGAGACTTGCTCAGAAAGACTACCCAGCCAATCTGGCCTGGCAAAGGGTTTATGCAGATTAGGACGAGAGTGGCTAGGACACTAGGGGGGCATGTAGACATGGGGTCCCCGAAGGGACAAGGCCTCTGGGCAGCCAGGAGCTGAGGAAGGTTCCAAGACATGGTGCCAGGCAGTGCGCGACAGGGAGCAGAGTACAGTGGGGTGGCCCTTGGGGACCCCGACGAGGACCGAGATGGGAAGGGGACATGCGATTGAAAGTGGGGAAGACAGAGCCGGCGGGCGGGCGGATGCCCTGGTCCGGGCGTGGGGAGCTGGGCGTTGCGGGCCGAGGCGCAGGCGGAGCGGAGGGCGGAGGCGCGGGGCGCGCGTTTGGGGCGCTGCGGCGGGGAGGGTGGCGGCCGCTGGGGCGCGCGGGCCGTGTGTGCGCGCTCTACTGCTCCAGGAGGAAGATGGCCCGGGAGGGAAAGTTGGGGTGACGCGTGCTGCCCCCGGACGCTTGCCAGGGGGCACGGAGGCGAGCCCGACAGAGCGGTGGCTACCCAGGCTGGGGGGCGAGCGGTCTGGGCGACGCCACCGTCACCGCGCCCGCCCCCTCACTGCAGGTGGCCGCGGGAGCTCAGAGTCTGGGTGGCCCGGGGGCGCGGGCGGGCGCGCGCTAGGGATCCCGGCTGAGGGATGGGCTGCGCCCCCAGCATCCATGTCTCACAGAGCGGCGTGATCTACTGCCGGGACTCAGATGAGTCCAACTCGCCCCGCCAGACCAGCAGCCTGTCGCAGGGCCCCACGGCGCCCCTGCACGGCCTCTTCGTGCAGACCGACGCCGCCGACGCCATGCCCCCGAGCCGCGCGGCGGGACCCTCGGGCGCTGTCCGAGTCCGTAGGTCCCGGGCTGAGCTGGGCAGTGGCAGTAGCACGGGGTCCTCAGGGCCAGCAGTGACCACCTGCCGGGGCCGGAGGCGTCACTGCTGCAGCAGTGCTGAGGCCGAGACCCAGACCAGCTACACCAGTGTCAAGGTAAATGCGAGCTGTTTGGGGGGGGCTGTCCGTCGGGCCAGCACCGGGTAGGGGGCTCGTGGAGGAGTTCAGTGATCGATTGGGGGAGAGTGTTGCCAAGGAGGAGTTTACTTTTCATTTTTGTGGGTGGTGAAGGCCCAGGGAACTGGGAAGAAAAGATTCTGGAGTGTGCCTGGGACCAACCCTAGCTGATTTTGGGGTGGGGACAGGTGGAGTGCAGCGCAGAGAAAAGCAATTGGGGCGACCTGTTTCTTGTTGAGGGAGGGCAGCCTGTGGTCCAATGGATATAGCTGGAGGGATGGGTATGCATCACCAAGAGCATGCGAGTTTCTCTGAATGAAATCTGAGCGCTGAGCTGGATCTGCATGTGGTGCAGACTAAGCACCAGGATGTTAGAGCGCCTCGGGTTCAGATTTCCACCTGCAAGTCAGCTAGACTGGATGGAGTTCTCAGCGCAGTGGCCCAGTGCAGGGATTTGTGAATGAATAGGCTGCTTATATTTGAAGAGCTACAGAAAGGGACTAGGCGAGAGCCAAGTGGAACCTGTTGTCGCTGTAGTAGTGTTTCTTTGGGTTGACTGTATCCTGGATATAATAGAGAAAACCCAGCCAGACTTTGGAATGTCAGGAGAGCCATCGCAGAGGGATGTGGTTGTCAGTTCAGGGCAGCGACCTCAGGATTATGGTCTGTACACACATCCTACAGGGGGGGGGGGGCAGAAGATTGTGAGGGTGTGGAAAGGTTAAAGCAGTCTCCAGATAATTCTTGATGAAAATTTATTTCAACAGTGTCCATCCTATATGTTTTCAAAGTACTTTTACATCCAAGAGGGATTCATTGTGTCTAATGTAATCGCTTTATAACAAATCGAAGAGCAATAACACATCTCATTGTGCACAGGAAAAAAAAAACATGTCTCTAAACTCTTAATGTTAGATAGACACAGCTCTTATGTAGTCAGTAGATTACCAGGGACCATTCCATGATTCCTTAACAAAGACACAATTGTATATCTAGTAGTTAAAAATATGCTCAACAGTTGGCCCAGTGTGAGGAGGCTCCGGGTTGTCCCTGGATGAAGTGCACCCACACTGGAGGAAAGGAAGGAAGGGATAGCAGGCTGCCTTTGGACGAATTTAATTTTTGTCAATTGCCATCTCATTTTGCCACATAAAATCTAACCAGTGTTTACTAGTAGCTGTGGTGTTTCTCTGGTAATAACTGTGAACACCATTAACCTAAATCTACCATTTAATATGTAGCGGCTATATGCCAGGAATAAGTTTCTTTACCTACTTTTGAATATTAAGTTTATCT